ATATCTAGCATAAAACATATTCCAGTTATGTCATATTTATACTCAGAAGCACATTTCTATAAAGCATTATGGGGTGCAACGTCACACTATGTACATTAAGAAATGACAAAACTAGGCTTTTCTGGACTGTCAGAGGGAGCCTATTGCTCCCTTCTACTGGGAAAGCTCTGTAGCCAGACCTGGAGAGTTCACTCCTGAGAACACTCAGCAAGAGAATCCCAGTTGACCGAAAGTCCTGTGATGGGATATAGGGTTTCTTAGGTAACCAGGTCCCAGACATTCAAGGCTTTAATAGATATTAAATTAGCATGTACATTATAGGGTAAACATGCCTATTGACTAAATATAAAACAACTAGACCATAAAAACAGGTGTAGCAGAAACTCAAAGAGAAAAAAGAAAAACAGCTACTGTAGCACCAGTGTAATATCTATAGTCAGCTGATGATTAGCTCTGGTCTCCTGCTACTCTCACTACCACTATTTGCTCTCTCTCCTTATACTCCCTCTGCTCCTTCTCCTACTCACCACTCCATGTCTTTTATCATTCTGATCCTTATGATTGGAATGGACTCCCTTTTCCTGTGCACCAAGTAAGCTCCTTCTTCTACTTCAAATCAGACCTCAAGATACTTTCTACCTTCAACTTACTTTTCATCACTAACCTCAGCTCTGCCACAGTTTGTTCTGTCTCTTGAGTCTAATAATGATAAAAATCCCCTTTTCCTTTTGTTGTCCACCGATAATAAATTGTTTTGTTTTAATATCCATGAAATATAGCTTGTAAGTCTTTTTATTTAAGGCTTGGGAACACAAAAAGTTGTACAGTTTAACTGAATCAGTGTACAATTTAAACTGTTGCAATTTTGTATGTAAACGAAACCTTATCTATAATTACCATACCTATACATAGTGCGGCAAGAGTATATCCACCAGGGGTGGGCAAACTATGGCTCGCAGGCCAGATCCGGCCCCTCAGGGCTTTGGATCTGGCCCGCGCAATTGCTCCCCGTGGCGCCGCAGGCCCCGCGCCGCTCCAGGAAGCGGCCGGTACCACATCTCTGCAGCTCCTAGGGAGGGGGGCAGAGGGCTCCACGCGCTGCTCTTGCCAGTGGGTACCTTCCCCAAAGCTCCCATTGGCCAGGAACGGGGAACCATGGCCAAACAAAATAAAGGGGTTGGAATAGGGGCAGGGAGGGGCAGAGTTGGGGCGGGGACTTTGGGAAAGGGGTTGGAATAGGGGCGGGGGTGGGAAGAGGTGGGGTAGGGGCGGGGCTGCATGGAAGGGGTGGAGTGGGGGCAGGGCCAGGGGTGCGGGAGGGTCGAGCACCCAGGGGAAAGCAGGGAAGTCGGCGCCTATGCCCATGCAGCCACGGTCCCGGCTGTCTGCTGCAGGCGCCGCCCGCTCACGGCTCCCATTGGCTGGGGGAGAGGGACAGAGATATCATCACTAGGGCAGAATCAGCCATGGAGGCAGCGTCACTAGTCACTGGGCAGAGTCAGCTGGGGTGGCATGAGACCAAGGGAGCAAGGGAAAAGGGTGGGAAACGGGCTGGAAGGTGGCATGAACACCATCTTCAGTCCCATTATTGGCCCGCTGGGAGGATTTGAGGACTGGTACTGGCTCTAAGGTAAATTGAATTTGAGACCCCTGCTTTATACACTCCTGCTAGGGTCACCTGCTTCTTTTGTTCTGCCTCTTGGTAATTTTCCATTACTTCCCAACCCTCACAACCTTCAGACAAGAGGAGGAAGTGTCCTCTCCCAGAGCAAACTTATTGTCCCAAGGTGTTTTACTTTGGATAGTGTTGTAGCTGTGTTGGTCCCACGATGTGAGAGAGAAGATAGGTGGCCTGGCAGAGACATGATAAACCCAGCTAATTCATGGGGACCAATATACACACAAGCTTTCCATGACCTAGTAATTTCATAAAATCAGCCAAAACGCCTAAGTGGTACAGACAGATTTGTCACATGAAGAATCACTGAATTGTAATGACTTTGTCAGAAGAAAGAACAGGAGTACTTGTGGCACCTTAGAGACTAACCAATTTATTTGAGCATAAGCTTTCGTGGGCTACAGCCCACTTCATCGGATGCATAAAATGGAACATATAGTGAGGAGATATATATACATACAGAGAACAGACCTTTCTGGCTCAGTCCCCTAGTTATATAGACTGGAGATGGCTGGCAGACTGTTTCCAGCTTGAGAAATCCTGTCCTTTTTGCTATCAATCATTATCCTTCAAGACTGAACCCTTTAGACTGCTTCGTTCAACATTATCTTTGTTTTTCTATCACCATCAGTGTGATATGTCCTGGAATTCCAAGTTCCAGCATATGCTGCTATCTTGAGTTTAGACCTTCATGAGCCCCAGTCTCAGTAAACTGAATGTCACAGTTATAAAACACATGAGTTAGTGTATACTTTGCAGGTAGATAAAGTATCAGGGGGTAGCTGTGTTAGTCTGAATCTGTAAAAAGCAACAGAGGGTCCTGTGGCACCTTTAAGACTAACAGAAGTATTGGGAGCATAAGCTTTCGTGGGTAAGAACCTCACTTCTTCAGATGCAAGAGGTTCTTACCCACGAAAGCTTATGCTCCCAATACTTCTGTTAGTCTTAAGGGTGCTACAGGACCCTCTGTTGCTTTTTACAGGTAGATAAAGACACTTGACTTTCAACTTTGAGTGTCACAATTAAAGTGACCACACGCTCTTTACTTGACATTCCATCCCACTATACTCAAATTCTTGACTTGTCAATCACAAATATTTTGGTGACATCACCAAGGGTAAATCCTGCCTCCATTGTGAAGTAAGGGACTGGAATTTCAGCATCAGGATCTGCTAGCATGGGGATTCTCAACATTTTTTGAATCCTAACCAACCTTTGCATTTTTATTTTTTATTTGGAGGCCAGAGCCCCCCATCCCTCTTACTCACATTTGGCCCAGCCACCTCACTGTCATAACGGAGGGGTGGCTGGACCAAATTTGAATGGCACTGTGACCTTGTGTGCTAGGGCGTAACACCACTCACTCAGATTTGGCTTGGCACTTGCCCCTACCCCTCCCTTTATTATAATTACTGAACTATTAGACAGCTCACTGTGCCCCTTAGAAAGTGTGATGAGCCCTTCTCCTTGTTTGACAATCTCTGTGCTAGAACAATACAGAGGAAGATTCTGAAATACATATATCCCCACCCACCTTTTTTTGTGTGGAAAGCTGCACCAAAGTGCTAGCGATAATACTTTAGCATAGAGGACTGGATATATGTTTCTTTATGCTTTTAAGAAATTATAGAATCATTCATGTTAGAGATTAGATTAACTCATTCCCCTGTAAATGTAGGATATAATCCCTTGACACAGGATACATATGAGATTAAACTGAGAATAAACTTGTTTTTAGAAAATTATAATTTGAATGAACTGGTCCTTAGGCTGGAAACTATGATGCATATGAGTATTCTTATTCCCATGAATAGTCCTGCTGAAGTCAACGGTACTACTGATATGATTAAATTTAAGCACAAGTGCTACTGTTTGTGGCATCTAGTTCACAATTCAAGACCTGCCAAGTCTCACTCTTTTGTGAAGACAAAGACTCTCATCAAGGATGAATTTTAAGGGCATTTCTCATTTTCTCTCCCTGAATTGAAGAATTTTGCTGTGGGTTTTCAAAGAGATACTTCAGAAATCCTTCAATTTGTTTTTAAAATTCCCGTTCACAGTGCCCTAGTCTGAGATACCACGCCGGATATATGCTGGGCTCCTCACCTATCAAATAATGAATTACTGTCCCTGCCCTGAAGAATATACAGCAGGGCTTGGCAACCTTTCAGAAGTGGTGTGCCGAGTCTTCATTTATTCACTCTGAGTTAAGGTTTTGCGTGCCAGTAATACATTTTAACGTTTTTAGAAGGTCTCTTTTTATAAGTCTATAATATATAACTAAACTATTGTTGTATGTAAAGTAAATAAGGTTTTTAAAATGTTTAAGAAGCTTCATTTATAATTAAATTAAAATGCAGAGCCCCCCGGACTGGTGGCCAGGACCCGGGCAGTGTGAGTGCCACTGAAAATCAGTTTGCGTGCTGCCTTTGGCACGCGTGCCATAGGTTGCCTACCCCTGATATACAGTCTAGATTTAGCAAGTGATCCTCAGAATGTCTGGATTTCCTGGGGAGAGCTGGATTGCACCATAACATTATATTTATTATTTTAATAGAGTGGCTGAATATTGGTTTGGTTTTAGATTCACAGACAACATGATTTACTAGTTCCCAGCACAAACTGTTCCTATCTTCCCTCTGCACTAGCCCAACACCTGCCAACGTTCACTCGCATTAACAATAATAATCAGAGATAATTCAAAATTGAAGCCAGTTATCCTCAGCAGCATGCAGACTTTATTCATCTGGATAAAAGGAATCCCAGATCCAAACCACTTCCAGTTCTGGTTTAGTAAAACCAAACCCTCAAGCTAAATTTGTTTAGCAAATTAAAACCCACCCCTTTGCTCAATAATTTCCCAGATAGGAATCCTCGCCCCCCAAGCACCCCCTTCCTCCTCTGTGAAGGGGATCCCTGCAACCCCGAGGGCCCCCTTTTCCCTCTGTGAGGGGACCCCCAAACTCCAAGTGCCCTCTTTTCTCTCCCTGAGAGGACCCCCCACGCCGCAACTGCCCCCTTCTCCTCTCCTCCCTGTAGGGGATCCCTGCCCCCCAACCGGCCCCCCATTTCTCTCCCTGGGGGATCCCCCAACCACCCCCCTTCTCTCCCTGTGGGGAGCCGCACCCCAACCACCCCCTTCTCCTCTCCCGGTGGGGGATCCCCGCCCCCTCTCCCTGGGGGGACCCGCCCCCCCCCCCCTCCCGGGGGGGGGGAATCCCCGCGCCCCCAGCCGCCTCGCAGGGTCCCTCCCCCCGGCCGCGGTTCTTTCCGGTGCCCTCCCCCTGCCCGGACTGCCACATCCTCCGCTGACATCAGCCAGCGCCGCCATATTGGAGGAGAAGCCGCGTCCCGTCCGCTGCCTCCTCGGCTGCTCCTGCCGTAGGGGGAGCCGGCCCCTCTGCCCCCGCGGCCGAGCCCTCCCCCATGCGTCCCCCCGGCCGGCCGCAGCCCCGGCGCGGCTAGCGAGAGCCCGTGTCCCCGGCGCGGCCCCCTCCCGCGCGCTCGGGCTTTCTCCCCCCCGCGCCGCCGGCCGGAGCCATGACTTCCCTGACCCAGCGCAGCTCGGGCCTGGTGCAGCGCCGCACCGAGGCCTCCCGCAGCGCCGCCGCCGACAAGGAGCGGGTGGCCGGGGGCGGCCCGGAGGAGGAGGGCCGCCGGGACGAGCAGGGCGACGACGAGAAGGGCGACTCCAAGGAAACCCGGCTCACCCTGATGGAGGAGGTGCTGCTGCTGGGCCTCAAGGACCGAGAGGTGCGGGGGAGGCGGCGGGGGTCTGGTGAGGGCGTGGGGAAGGGACATCGGGGGG